CTACAGTTACATGTCGCTCTCGTCGTCGCGTAAACGTGAACCCTTTATATTGGTGATAAAAGTTAACACCCCTATTTCCTGCGTTTTTTTAGAATGCCATTTTACATTTGACACAGCGTCCTGTTCTTTCTAACAGGTGAAGCTTTTGTCTTACGGTTTAGAGGGGACCCCCTTCGTGGATTTATTAACATGTACCCGATATTTTATCAGCGGGTTTCTGGGGTGGCAGAGGTTTTTGGGTGGCCTTCACCTGGGTCTACCTGTGTTGTGGTTAGATTTGTCGGTTTTTTGCTAAAAAAAATTTAGCGGTTGTAACAGTGGGTCTCAGTTGGATTAACCTCACGGTCCAATTTGCAACAATTCCTGTACGACGGGTAGTCGTGTGCCAGCTCAGCCAACGGGAAGTCCTTGATCAGGTCGTTTTTTTGTTGTGTTTTTGAACTAAACATAACAATAATAAAATTTCATTTCAGTTTCATTGAACAAATGAAAAATTAAAATTCATTGATGTGATTTCATTGATCAATGAAAACTCTCGTCATTAATATTGATAATGATCAATGAAAAATTTTCATTAGGGTTGTGACAAGGTTGCTGTGAGAGTGAGGGATTTGCACTGCGAACCGAGTCCCAGGGCCACCGCACGGTCAACCCTGCACGGCTCCGAGGAAGTCGAAGTATTTCGCCTGCGTTTCTCGAAATTGACTAACGTTCATAAGTAGCCAGCCGTGACCCTGCGAATCCTGTGGCGTAGGTAAATACAGCCCGTCCGAGAATTTCCGTTACACTCACAGTAAGGGTAACCTAGCCTCTTAACATCGTGGAGCTCTTCAAAGAGGAATGACAGCTAAACTAAAACTGTCACTTATAGAGGTGACGAGTATGTTTAGTTTTTGTGGATATAATGGAAACAGTTAATTTGTTGTAACCCTTATCTAAATTTACACATGTTACGAAACACAAAAGGGGAAATTTTAAGACTCTTTGTTGACCAAAAGAGACTTTACGACCTCGGGTTTTCTGTGTGATTTGGTGTTAGGGGGTCGATAACAACACTGCTGCGGACAGGTGAAACTGTCTGGAACACTATTCAGTTGTCGAAACAACTAACTTACTTGTATTATAAGTATGTTTTTTTCACTGCATTTAAAATGAGTAGATATAAGTTTTGGTATACCCGAGTCTTGTCAGAGTATATGTGTGTGTAGTACGTGTGTCCTCCTAAGGTGTGAACATAAAGTCTAGGCGTTTTCCTAAGTATGAACATAAAGGCCTAGGTGTGAACACAAAAAGTTACGTGTGTGTTTACACCAAAGGGCAAAGTATATGTACATCCGATTTATTTAGTTTATGTCTTTTTTCAAAATGTATACATAAAAACTAGGTGTGTATAAACAAAAGGCAAATTTTGAGAATTGGACGTTTGTGTTTGCCGAAAATACACGTACCTAGCGAGGAGTACGTAAGACACACCATAAAAACTCTGATGGGGACTGCCAGTCGGCTAAGCATGAACATTTGTGTAAAAAAAGATATGGTTGAGTCTACAAGTAAGTAAGATAGTGTACTCGCGGGGGGGTACTCCCATTTACTAAAGAAACAAGTACTGTGAAGTATATGCGTAAAACGCGACATGCCAGTCGAGCGATTGTCTCCCGCCTCGTAGTCCACTAGTACGTCTCGACGCACAGAGGTAGTCTGGTCGTCGACTAGACTCGAGAGAGAGACGCAGCATTTGAATGCAGCGCATTATACGGAGTATAGCTAGTCTAGGTCGAGGACTAGCCGGGAATATCTCTCGTGGCTTAGTTTGATAATCTCGCTTATAGCCGGCTATTACTGGCCACCCCGAGGGGGGCAACTGTCAAGTGACAGATCGTGACGAAGCATCACGTGACTAGCTAATCCGATTGGATTTGGACATCGACGAGGGGAGGTGTGAGTGTTGTTGAAGTATGTCTGTATTATTTCGTGACATTAGCGGTATGTCCTTTGTGTGTAAATTTATACAAAAACGGACGACAAAAACACATGTGTTCGTAAAGTAGTTACCAAGCCTTTTCACCGGACATGGGGATTATTATATTTCCGAACGTAACGCACGTAAAGGACAAGCCTTCACCGCGACATGACTCTCACCTCCACCAGGACCTTAATCGCGGACGTTCTCCGAGGAACCTGGACAGCGGAGGCCTGTCGCGCTTTACGCGTGTATCTTCGCGATGCATACTTGCGGTTCTTTAGATTGGAGTCACCCCGCGCGGAGTACACTAACCGAATCTTAAATCCTATGTAGACTAACCGATATCTATCTTTCCTAATGTTTATGCTTAGCCGCTGCGCCCCTAGAGTTTTTTTGGTGTGTCCTTCGTGTTCACTAGGTAGCGTGTCTTAACGCCAAACACAAACGTCCAAGTCCCCTAAATTTGCCTTTTGTTTTATACACTCCTAGTTTTATGTGTACATTTTTGGAAAGACATAAACCTAAAATAAACCAAATTCTACCAACTACCACCGGTCCCTTTTCTTTCAAACCCCGAGAGACGACCTTGACAGGAGGCGCGGGCTGGTGGCCTATTCGCCCTTCTTCTTACCTACCTACCTACCTACCAAAATAAAGTACATTATACTTTGCCTTGTGTAAACACACCACGTAACCTTTTTGTGCTCACACCTAGGCCTTTATGTTCAACACTAGAAAACGCCTAGTACTTTGTTCACCACTTAGGAAGGACACACCGTACACACATAATACTCTGACAAGGCTCGGGTATGTAAACGGGGGTTGTAAACAGAAAATGTGTACCTCTGTCATTTATTTCCAACATTCAGTGTACACAAGGGGAGACGGTGAAATATTTAACTGATCGACAACAATACAGACGAAGACGGATCGGGATTCGACAAAGTTTAATTTTTTTACTCACTGTAGGGAGACAGTTCAATGATTATAACGTTTAATAGACGAAATCAAATCTGTTTTCTGCAATAAGTAACTAAGGAAGTTACCAATTCTATTTTGTTGTCAATAGTGATTTTTGTTAAACCTATCCATTAGGTATCGGACTTTCTTAATTTTATTAACTTTACCTGATAATTGTACAAATTATATCAGGAAACAAGTTCAGACCTATTACATTGGTGTAATTGAGGAGCAACCGTTAAGAAAAGGCAAGTGTCGTAGCCGTGTTAAATTCTTTATCTGGTACGAACTGTAGGATTTTAGGTTCCTTTTAGTCTACGTATTGAAACTAACTTACCCTGAAATGTTACCCCGCGTTAACCAATCATCACTCCTCTCTCTGGTTACTTTCACTTTTCCATGGTGCTGTATTCGCCTGCAAATTACATCCGCAGGGAGATTCGGTTCAGTTCCATCACATAATGTAACGCAGTAACGCACCCATTTAATCACAGTAACTATAACGGCGTTACTTAATGGGAATAGGTAACTAGTAACGCATCTGTCAAATACTTAGTTACCGCAAAAAGTAGTTGCGTTACAGTAACGCGTTACAGTAACGCGTTAGTCCCAACACTGGTCTTGAAACACTGATAAGTTTCTCTGTTGTTATCTAACCTTAAAAAAATCTGTTATGGCAGGAGTAAAGCAATCGATGACAGAACATCCATTTTGTAACAAAGTGGGGAAACAAGCATGTGTAATCGTTAACCTGGGGTTTTCACAGCTTGCTCTCAACATAAGGTTGTAGTCTTACACAGAGAGAGAAAGATATACAAATTTAAAAGCGTCAGTGGAGTCGAATTAAGCTGCACACGACATGTTATAGGAGCATATGGTGCCATCAGCACACACAGTTTCAAAAATTGACATTTTTGTCCATGTACTGTAAGTACAGAAGAAAAGACAAACAAAAAAAGATTTAAAATGTCAATTAGTGAGCCACTGGTGGGTGGATTGTGTTACTGTTGGCAAAACAATTTCCCTCAGAATATTTATTGTAACATTATAATCAGCTTTTGAGTTAATGTTTAACCATGATCAAGATTGTTTCTGGTAATTGTCACACCCTTGACAAACGGGTCTGCTATTCTTGGAAAGCAGAGGACATACCTTAAAGTAGTTGTAAAAAAGGATTGGACTGTGCTTTATATTTGGACTTTAACCCAAATAGATATGCCATTATAGAGAAAAATGGGTAGAGAATTGTCTTGACATCTTTAAAACTTTTCAGGGAAGAATTAAAATATCAGGAATCAAACTAAAGACCAGCACACTTCATTAAAAGCTCCCAGCTATTTTTACTGTGCAACATTTCAATCCAACAGAGGTTGAAGTGTCAGACAAAGGTATCTGATAGATCAAATGTGAACAGTTAAAGTTGCTGGGAGATTGAATATGTGCAGATCTTTTGTCTGGCTCCTGCAGAGTCTTGTGCCGCAAGTACAAAGTGGAAATCATCATTAATTACTCAATTTGATATTTGCTCTTTGATACACCTGTATGGATCAAATGGAGCTTCTGATTTTGTGTGATTGACCAAATGATCTCATACAAATTCTAATTCGACCAATGCAACATACGATCTTATTATTTATAATTCCAGGGACACATTTAGCGGATTTGATATAAGCAATAAAAATACCCCTCCGGAAAAATATAAGATGACCGCTCACTCTAATATTTTATGGAGTAGGTGCAGACACACACTCAGGTTAATAGGTCATTGTTATGAATTCTGAGACAGAGCTAAACGTTATTATGTTGAAACTGAACAAAGCTATATTTTGTCAAACGTAATCTAAGCTAACATGTTGACATAGATGTAGATCGTACTTTATGTTTATTTGGCGCAAAGTGGACAGTATAGTAGGCCTGTTTCATTGTGTAACTCTTTTTTTATCCAGGAACTGTATGTGGCCTGTTAATGTTCTCAATATCGGTTAATTAGGAAAATCTCAGCCAACACTGAATACAGCAGGTGGTGGGTGGGATGGTTTAGAAGCTGTAACAAAACCACTGCTTTTGAAAAGCCCACTTCAAAATCCTTCCACTTAGTGTGCAAGGAGCCAAAAGCCAACACAAACAACATGACTGACTACGAGGTTGCAACTGCCTTTCTCGGGGAATGGGGACATTTCCAGCAGCAGGTGTTTTTCCTACTCTGTCTCACCGTCATCCCTAACGGTTTCAGCGGCATGTTCATCGTCTTCGTGGCCGACACGCCGCCCCACCGCTGCGTCATTCCCGCAAACGTGAACCTGACGGCGGCGTGGAGGAACCGCAGCATCCCGCTGGAGCTGGACAGCAACAGCGGCGCGTTGGTGCCCAGCAAGTGCTCCAGATACAGGCTGGGAGATGTGCTGAGTTTCTCGGACAGAGGCTTTCTGCCCGGGGTCGACGTTAACATGTCTAATGTGCCGACTGAGAGCTGCTTGGATGGGTGGGAGTATGACCAAAGCGTGTACATTTCTACCATCATAACGGAGGTTTGTGCACAGGTCTGCGTAGCTTCTGTGATGCAGCTGACACTGAGATGACGCATGAGGAATGTATATGATATTCATACAGGAAGTAGGCTATAAGCAGAGGCGGAAAAGTTTCCCAGATCTTGTACTTGAGTGAAAGAACCGGAGTGTGTAAGAACATTCCTTCATTTGAAATGTAACTGAAGTAAAAGTTAAAAATAATAAGCTTCAAAATATACTTAAGGTGGTACCTACTCATTATGCAGATTGGCCCATCCCAGAATAATATTTATCATATGTTTTGATTATAATTATTGATACATTAAAGTGTTATCAAAAGTGGTACAGTTACAGCCAGTTGTAATTACTCTTAATACTGCAAGGTAGCTTTTGTATTTACTCCAATTGTAACTCAATTATAAATTATATTTCACATTATTAATCAAAATCTGCGTAGCAACTAAAGGTATTAAATAAATGTAGTCGAGTGAAAGTAACCTACAATATGTACCCTTGAATTGTAGTGGCAAGTAGCCTACAGTAGCATACAATTGTCAAATTCTCAACATTTTACTCAAGTACAGTAGCCTACTTAGTCATTTAGAGTTTTTAAATAGAGTGCAAAAACTACATTTCATCTTGATGTTGCAATAGATTCAGAGATATTTTCAACATCTACACAAGAAATTGCCTCACATATAACATGAATTGTTCAGCCACCAAGTTATCAATCATTGGAAACTAAAACAATAATGTATTACATTTTCAAAGATGTGTCTAATATTTGTTCCACTCTCGTTAGGTGAATATTTGGACATAATAAAGAAAAAAATATATATTTCCAGTAATAACAAATAAATAAGCCATTAGGTTATAATTGTTAAAAAAAGCCAACATTTCAAATCTCTGCTTATTTTGATATAACTATGGTAATTGTTATGGTTATACTTACACACACAAATGCACTCCTGTGGTACTTTTTAGACCGTTTTTTGTTAAGAAATTGCTACTTTTTGTGAAGACTTAAATACTGCCTGTGTGTGCGTGTGTGTGTTTTCAGTGGGACCTGGTGTGTGGCGACAGGTGGAAGAACCCGCTAACTTCTTCTATCTTCTTCTGTGGTGTTCTCACTGGCTCCTTCGTTTCGGGGCAGCTCTCTGACAGGTGGTGAAAGATTGACTTTAGTTTTTCAAAACGTTAATCACTAAGTAAGCACTTATTGTACCAAATGATCTGCCAAGTCAAATTTCCAACAGCAACAAGTGTGCCCCACTATCAATGAATAGATGTTTTAATGATACATCTAATGATTTTCTCATACTCAAACAACTCAACAAGAACCTATTTCTCTTTTTTTAGCCGTCAGTGCTGATCAAAGTCTGACAGTTCACTAAATGGAAAAAAGAGCATGTGCCAGTAAAAATGAAGCCGCATTAGTAAAGCATTTTCCCAACCGTCATGTGTTGACCTTCTCACAAATGCTGACTCTCGGCTAAATGTTTAACTTCAACAGCTATGCAAACTCTGGTAAACAATTTACACTACTGTGTTGTACTTACTGGATTTGTCAGTGTTTTGTCGACTTCAGTGAAGTCATACTATACAGTACATTTGAGGGTTCCATTGGTTGACCTTTGCGTCTACTTACATGGTCATTTACATGCTTTGTATCCATTTGTAAGGTATGGGAGAAAAATAGTGTTGTTTGTTACCATGGCAGTCCAGACAGTGTTCACATTCATCATGGTCTTCGCTCCATCCTGGCCCGTGTTCTGCGCCCTGTTCTTTATTGTCGGGATGGGACAAATCTCTAATTATGTGGCTGCGTTTGTGCTAGGTACTTTTGTTTGCCTCTATTCGATGATTTCAGGTGTATTTAGTTGCTAACTTGTCCATGAAAATAATGTGTCATTCTTTGCCTGTGCTTTGAATCTCCCCCTTTTCTCCTGTGCTTCAGGGACAGAGATATTGAGCCCAAAGGTTCGGACAATTTATTCCACCGCAGGTGTGAGTCTTTCTTTGCTGCAGGCTACATGTTCATACCACTGTTAGCCTACTTCTTGAGAGACTGGAGGATGCTTCTCCTAGGCCTCGCCCTGCCTGGCTTCCTCTATGTGCCTCTCTGGTGGTAGGTAGGTGTGTGTTTGCTTGAATGTGTGGGGTTCTTATTTTTCTAGTTGATTTTATCTCTAGCTGTGTTTCATTTCAAGTGTTTTATTTTCTACAGTGTTGAGTGGTGTATAATGTACAGCGTTGCTTTAAGTATTACGTTCATGAAGGTCAATCAATTAATATACTGTACATAGTTCCTGTCGAAAGCTAAACAGATTGTTTTTTTAAAGCTGAAAGAATTTGCCTATTAATCACGTAGTTGATAAACATAATAAATACAGTCNGATTGTGTTATTGTTGGCAAAACAATTTTCCTCAGAATATTTATTGTAACATATAATCAGCTTTTGAGATAATGTTTAACCTCAAGAATGTTTCAGGTTATTGTTAACCTGAAACATTCTTGAGGTTAAACATTATCTCAAAAGCTGATTATATGTTACAATAAATATTCTGAGGAAAATTGTTTTGCCAACAATAACACAATCCACCCACCAGTGGCTCACTAATTGACATGTTAAATCCTGTTTATCAATTTTTGACACTGTGTGCTGATGGCACAATATGCTCCTCTAACATGTCATGTGCAACTTAATTTGACGGCACTGACACTTTTACATTTGTATATCTTTCTCTCTCTGTGTAAGACTGTTACAGCCTCATGTTGAGAGCAAGCTGTGAAAACCCTAGGTTAACGATTACACACGCTTGTTTCCCCACTTTGTTACAAAATGGATGTTCTGTCATTGATTGCTTTACTCCTACCATGACATTTTTTTTAAGGTTAGATAACAACAGTGAAACGTATCTGTGTTTTAACTATAAAATAGATATATGATTTACAGGTAGAGTGGTTTCTTAGTTTTACAGGGTCGTGCACAGACATTGATCGCGGACACTTTGGACTGACAGTATAGCGCCTGCCAGACAGAATAATTTGAACAGGTTGTGTTCAGGGTGGGGTTGACGTGCGTGTTTCCTACTTGTTTCCTAACTCAGGAGGAAGTCCTGAATGGAGGGCAGGTTGGCGCCATTTCTTTGTGTAGTCCTCACTGTAAATTATAGTCTGTTCCCAATGCTGTTAAATGGCTGAACCAAACCAAACAATGATGCACAAGCATGGGAACATACCGCATGATTTTAGCTTGAATTTGCATCGGTATAAAAAAAACATAATGCTGAAGGCCGGGCACATAATTAAATATTTTCCATCTCCTGAATAATTGACATAAGCACAACCAATTTCCCTCCTTTCCATTATACAGTGTAGTGGTCAGTTTGGAGGTCGGTCCCCTGTATTGGTAAGCTTTTTATGCCTAGAGAAACTGTTGTTGGGTTGTCACATGACTATCATAACTTTTTATTCATTTAATCTTATCCACTTTAAAAACATGGTTTGGATGCAGTGACTAACATTAGTAGCATGTGAGCTATTCACTTTTGGTTTACCTTTGGCAACCAATTATTTTCTTGCTTTTTGCGAGTAGATTATGTCTTCTGTCGACTTTTGAATAGTCGTTAGTGAAAGCCATTAGGTGTCTTCACTGATTAAGGATGATTACCTAATGTTGTCATGCAGAACTGTCCTGGCCTTGCAAATGGGGAGCAAACATTTGCATCCTTTAGCTCAGTTAAAACATTTCTGATTAGCTTCCTGAAAGCTAATGCGCTCATTAAATACAGGTAAACAGGGTAAAATGTCACTAATATTTCCTTTAAGCTACCTCAGTTATTTGATAATTAAATAATCTACAGAACCAATATATTATCAAATACGTGCTCATGTGTGTACATTTCCTAAACAAATATTTGTACAATGGATAAAGCTAGGTTTAAAATGATTGTATTTTTAGGATGTTGGCATAAATCAGCTATAGATCAATCCGGAAAAACACTTTTCAAACTTTGGGATAATAGAAAGGAATACAAACTGGAAAGTGTAGTGTATATAAGTGTTACTGATGAGTATTAGAAAAAAAAATTGAAATACAAAATGGTCCTTTAACAATATGCAATATGAAATGTGCAAGACACAACATGTGGACACTGTAAAAGAAACTCATATCACGATGAAAATTCCCCAGTTTTATTTGGTTAGATATAATATTAAAGTCCTTTTTAGGAGTAGAGGTAAAGGAAACAAATTTTTTCAGTAATCAACAAGTTTTCTAAAATGTTTTGTTTAAATGTGCTCATTAGCCACATCCTAATGCTTACATGTGTTGAATTTATAAAAAAGTTAATTATATAGTAATTACTCTAACTAGTGTTACTCTGTGGCCTGAGGAGGAACAACTACAATTATGTACAGTACACCAAAATACTAAATTAAGGAAATACACATGCCAATATCAGTGTTCACAATAGGATTGCAATGATCATATGTATGTAACAGACTTATGTGTACTATAAAACTTTGGAACTATGGATATATTTTTTGTAAATCATTTTTTCCTTGTCTACTAAGGATTGTTAAATGTATATATGTATTGTACAATTCAAAGACAACTACAGGATTGCTATAATTCTACTGAACTTTTACACAAAGGCATGTTTATGTTATGTCTGCTGTGTGGCTTGAAAATAGTCCCAACTGGACTCCTAATGATACTTAGCAACATTTAGAGTACAGGCACGTGTACTTCTTCGGGGTATTTAAAAGTGTGGAATGCTATTTAGAGAAAATACCACTTTCAACTGAGTGGTGCGGGGGCTGGGTGGTCAGATTGGCCACTTTGAAGCTTTTGATCATTTTACTTTCAGTTAATCAAATCAAATCAATGAGAGAGGGGATTCTCCATCAGTATTTTCACATAAAGAGCTTCCCAATAAAGTCCCATTCCCACAAACTGAGAGACAGTGGATGCAGCAGTAAGGAAAGGGGTGAAAAAGTTATCCCCTTGAAAGAAGTTTTAAAACTCTTGGGACTAGAAGGTATTTCCATTGTGACTCGGTCCCACTGGGGGACCAGCTCACTCGACTGAGAGCTCAAACACTCTGGTACTTAGCTCAAGACTTTAAGACGGATACCACAGCTCATACACTGAAGAATATCCCGGATTGCTTTCTCTCTCACAAGAAGGGAAGTATTTTTATATTTTGTATATAGAACATGGGTGACTATGATGAAGATACTGCATTCCTGGGACAGACTGGTCCTTTTTTCTGGACCACATTCTTCCTCCTCAACACAGTTTTTGTCTCAACTGGATTCAATGGACTTTACATGGTGTTTATCGGGGCAACTCCGAATCATCACTGCCTCATTCCAGACTTTAACTTAACTGAAGAGTGGACAAATGCCATCATCCCTTTTACGTTAGTAAATGGCGAGGAGGTGAAGAGCCAGTGCAGTAGGTACAGTCTGGACGTGGTGAGAAATATGTCAGCTGAAGGACTTATTCCTGGAAGGGATGTTAATCTCACCGACTTGGCGCAGGAGGGATGTTTAGATGGATGGAACTACAGCAAAGACATCTACCAATCCAACATTGTCACAGAGGTCAGTATGAATGTGCTTGTGTGTGTTTACAGAGTGTCATTATGATATTTGAAGTTTTCTTTGCTTTGTTTTTGTGTTTGAAATATGTATCTTTTTTTTACAGTGGGACCTCGTCTGTGATGATCAATGGAAAGTTCCCTTTGCATCCTCAACGCTCTTTGTGGGATACCTCTTTGGATCCCTGATCTCAGGCCATGTTTCTGACAGGTATTTCACCCTTATTTATCAGTACCTTTCCCATAACATTTTTATTTCATTGTTCATGTAAAATTACACCATTTCGATCCTTTACTTGGACTATTATATCTGAGGGGTTCTTATTATTTATGTAATGTTAGTGAGTGCTTGAAAAAATACAAAATGAACTATTAAGTTAAATGAGGTTTTCACACTGTCATGAGTGTTGCTTTTTTTAAATGACAACAGCCCCATCTACTGTTCAGGTTGATCTCCTACAAAAAAGGATTTGCTGTCACTGAGATAGAAGTATCTTGGTCTAGAATAGCAGGCATATATTTAATCAGTAGTAATGTACAAAATGAAATACTACAAGCCGACCTAGATGGCAAATTTGTTTTATTATGGTCGTAGATGTTGTTATATGTCAACAGACAGTCAAGTCTGCTGAACTTCATCATCTTAAGGAAGAATTTGAAATAATTTCACCTCACAAGCACGTCCTTTGATGAAATTAAGAATTGTGATTTGATGTTAGTCGTGAAGAGGTTGTGTTCCTTTTGAGTGTGGAAATCCTCAAAGCCCAGGACACACAGCAGCACTCTGTTTGGCCTTTTTGCAGCTGTGAAAACTGACCCCCCCCCCCC